CTCTGGTCTCTCTCTCTCTGGTCTCTCTCTCTGGTCTCTCTCTCTGGTCTCTCTCTCTCTGGTCTCTCTCTGGTTTCACCTGGTTGGTGGGGTCCCAGGGCACAGATAGTGGAACCTCTGCCTGTTCTCGGGAGATGATGTATTTCCTAGAACACAGAACAGTTCAGTCTGACTCTGACCCAGCGGTGATGTCACACACAGACAGGAGCCGGTACCGGTCCAGACGGATCTTCTTTCGGGCCGTGGCCTCTTCACAGCGTCTCTGACCGTCCTGCGGATCAGCACAACCCACAGATTACAGCCTCAGTCCTGGGTCCACAGCCTCAGTCCTGGGTCTACAGCCTCAGTCCTGGGTCTACAGCCTCAGTCCTGGGTCTACAGCCTCAGTCCTGGGTCTACAGCCTCAGTCCTGGGTCTACAGCCTCAGTCCTGGGTCTACAGCCTCAGTCCTGGGTCTACAGCCTCAGTCCTGGGTCTACAGCCTCAGTCCTGGGTCTACAGCCTCAGTCCTGGGTCTACAGCCTCAGTCCTGGGTCTACAGCCTCAGTCCTGGGTCTACAGCCTCAGTCCTGGGTCTACAGCCTCAGTCCTGGGTCTACAGCCTCAGTCCTGGGTCTACAGCCTCAGTCCTGGGTCTGCAGCCTCCGTCCTGGATCTACAGCCTCCGTCCTGGATCTACAGCCTCCGTCCTGGGTCTACAGCCTCAGTCCTGGGTCTACAGCCTCAGTCCTGGGTCTACAGCCTCAGTCCTGGGTCTACAGCCTCAGTCCTGGGTCTACAGCCTCAGTCCTGGGTCTACAGCCTCAGTCCTGGGTCTACAGCCTCAGTCCTGGGTCTACAGCCTCAGTCCTGGGTCTACAGCCTCAGTCCTGGGTCTGCAGCCTCCGTCCTGGATCTACAGCCTCCGTCCTGGATCTACAGCCTCCGTCCTGGATCTACAGCCTCCGTCCTGGATCTACAGCCTCCGTCCTGGATCTACAGCCTCCGTCCTGGATCTACAGCCTCAGTCCTGGGTCTACAGCCTCCGTCCTGGATCTACAGCCTCAGTCCTGGATCTACAGCCTCAGTCAGACCAGGTGAACCAGTCCTGTTGAAGTGAACCGGACCTTAGATCTCACTGACCAATGGCTCGGGCCGTATCCGTGGCAACAGCCGGGGTTTCCCATCTCCGTCCAGAACCTCGAAGATCATGAAGGCGGAGTTTATGTGTCGGTTTGGCCCGCCCCCTTGATAGGCCTCCGCTCGGACCCCCACCTCCATACTGCACAAGAACCATGTGTAACCAAGAGAAAGACCAGAGAGAGGGACATGGCCGGTCCTGGACTTTACAGGGGCCCAAAACAACACTAATTGATGATTTTACAATTTCTTTCCACTTCAGACAATGCGACGGGGAGATAACTGGAGTAGACTATGAGCTTGAATGCAGTATTACATTTACGTAAATATGATTAAAAAGAGTCTAGCCCAAGTAATAATAGGGCGTCTGTTATTAATTTCTGAATTATTAAGTAAGTAATGTTTATTTATGTAGCACATTTTACAGACCAAGGCCCTTTACATTTGTTCAGATAGTTGTTCCATTCTCTCCACACGGTGATGACGGAAGCGAGGCCGTCCACACTGGTCCATCAAAGCCTCCGACCAAACACCATCCATTCACTCATTACACTCACCCTTTACACTCATACCTATCGTGCACCCGGAGGAAACCTACGCAGACACAGGGAGAACATGCAAAGTCCACTCAGAAAGGCCCAGTTCTGACCGGGATTCAAACCTTCTTACTGAGAAGCAAGAGTGCTATCCACTCAGCTACCGTCCCGCCCAGATTAACCTGAAATGCCTTTTATACAGTAATTAGTATTTTAACCATTTTAAGAGAAACTCGTTGCTTCAGCTGGTCTGTAAATGGGACCAGGTGGAAATTCTATCAATGTACAAAAACATAGCAACACTTTTTAATAATTGCTTGTGCTTTTGCGTGGATATTTTTTGTTTTTATTGATACTATGTGCCACTAATGCAGACAAATCTTAATAAAGTACATCTATATCTATCTATATATCTATTTGAATCATGTATTTAAATCACGATCTTTACACAAACACTGTCCGAGATTGTAATGTTTCAGTGTCCCCCTCATGAAAACTTATTCTGTGATGAAGAAAAGACTTATCCCGGACTATTTTGACGTCACATTTCTGACCCTGGAGATGAGGAGAATGGAAACAGAGGTGTGTGATGAGAGACCTGTTCTTGAAGGCGTTGTTGACGATGGCCCTCAGCAGCAGCCGGTCCCCCACCTGAGAGGGCCCCCGGAACTTAAACATGTCGATTCCACGGAGTGTGGGGTGAGCCTGGCACAGACGACTGCAGCGAAAACCAAGACAAACTGTTTTAAAGCTGCGGTACGTAACTTTCAAAATAATAATAACAATAATGTTGATACTGTGTAGGATATATTAGCATCAGTGTGTTACCTGGCGGCTATAGTGGCCACGTTCACCATCCACGCCATGATCTGTCCTCCGAATGTGTTCACCTGAGCACACAACACTACACTATACAACACTACACAACATACAACACTATACAACACAACACAACACAGGTGAAGATAATCTAAACATGGGTGTTTTATTTAAATCGTTGTAAATAGCATCATTTGTTTTGTCTAAATTTACTTAAGAAGTGTTTGTATCAATAATTGTTTATTAATAATGTATTTATTTAAATCAGGGAATGATCAAGAAAACTAGAGTAAAGTAGAGTAAGGTCCAAACCAACTGTAGTCTGATAAACTCCTCAGTAAATCTGTGTCACACTCTGTATTGTGTGTTTAAAACATGTGGATCAAAGCCCTGTATGATTCTGGTGTTTGTATTTTGATATTCTATAAATCTAGATATGTCCCGTAACAAGCGACAAATCAGGTGACTTCTGTCCACAACATTGGGTATAGCTAGTAACTCGATTGGCTCGTTGGTTGCTAGGTCGTTGCTACCCATGACATTGGCTCCAGATATGAGTTAGCTCCATGAGTCAAACCTGGTGGTTAGCATGAGTCAGGCCTGGTTAGCATGAGTCAAACCTGGTGGTTAGCATGAGTCAGGCCTGGTTAGCATGAGTCAGGCCTGGTTAGTCAGGAATGGCGCCGTAAAGATGGCCGTGGCAAGAGCTCTGCTGTGTGTTGGTGCACACTGGGGTAGTCTTGCACAGTTTTTCCAATGTGGTTTTACTGCAAATGGCAAATAAATTAATCTGAATCTGGTTAGCATGAGTCAGACCTGGTGGTTAGCATGAGTCAGACCTGGTTAGCATGAGTCAGACCTGGTTAGCATGAGTCAAACCTGGTGGTTAGCATGAGTCAGGCCTGGTTAGCATGAGTCAAACCTGGTGGTTAGCATGAGTCAGACCTGGTTAGCATGAGTCAAACCTGGTGGTTAGCATGAGTCAGGCCTGGTTAGCATGAGTCAGACCTGGTGGTTAGCATGAGTCAGGCCTGGTTAGCATGAGTCAAACCTGGTGGTTAGCATGAGTCAGGCCTGGTTAGCATGAGTCAGACCTGGTGGTTAGCATGAGTCAGGCCTGGTTAGCATGAGTCAAACCTGGTGGTTAGCATGAGTCAGGCCTGGTTAGCATGAGTCAAACCTGGTGGTTAGCATGAGTCAGGCCTGGTTAGCATGAGTCAGGCCTGGTTAGCATGAGTCAGACCTGGTGGTTAGCATGAGTCAGGCCTGGTTAGCATGAGTCAAACCTGGTGGTTAGCATGAGTCAGGCCTGGTTAGCATGAGTCAAACCTGGTGGTTAGCATGAGTCAGGCCTGGTTAGCATGAGTCAGGCCTGGTTAGTCAGGAATGGCGCCGTAAAGATGGCCGTGGCAAGAGCTCTGCTGTGTGTTGGTGCACACTGGGGTAGTCTTGCACAGTTTTTCCAATGTGGTTTTACTGCAAATGGCAAATAAATTAATCTGAATCTGGTTAGCATGAGTCAGACCTGGTGGTTAGTGTGAGTCAGACCTGGTTAGCATGAGTCAGACCTGGTTAGCATGAGTCAGGCCGGGTTAGCATGAGTCAGAACTGGTTAGCATGAGTCAGGCCTGGTTAGCATGAGTCAAACCTGGTGGTTAGCATGAGTCAGGCCTGGTTAGCATGAGTCAAACCTGGTGGTTAGCATGAGTCAGGCCTGGTTAGCATGAGTCAGACCTGGTGGTTAGCATGAGTCAGGCCTGGTTAGCATGAGTCAGACCTGGTTAGCATGAGTCAGACCTGGTTAGCATGAGTCAGAACTGGTTAGCATGAGTCAGACCTGGTTAGCATGAGTCAGACCTGGTTAGCATGAGTCAGACCTGGTTAGCATGAGTCAGACCTGGTGGTTAGCATGAGTCAGAACTGGTTAGCATGAGTCAGACCTGGTTAGCATGAGTCAAACCTGGTTAGCATGAGTCAGACCTGGTTAGCATGAGTCAGAACTGGTTAGCATGAGTCAGACCTGGTTAGCATGAGTCAGAACTGGTGGTTAGCATGAGTCAGAACTGGTTAGCATGAGTCAGACCTGGTTAGCATGAGTCAGACCTGGTTAGCATGAGTCAGAACTGGTTAGCATGAGTCAGACCTGGTTAGCATGAGTCAGGCCTGGTTAGCATGAGTCAGACCTGGTTAGCATGAGTCAGGCCTGGTTAGCATGAGTCAGACCTGGTGGTTAGTGTGAGTCAGACCTGGTTAGCATGAGTCAGAACTGGTTAGCATGAGTCAGACCTGGTTAGCATGAGTCAGAACTGGTTAGCATGAGTCAGACCTGGTTAGCATGAGTCAGACCTGGTGGTTAGCATGAGTCAGAACTGGTTAGCATGAGTCAGGCCTGGTTAGCATGAGTCAGACCTGGTTAGCATGAGTCAGAACTGGTTAGCATGAGTCAGACCTGGTTAGCATGAGTCAGACCTGGTGGTTAGCATGAGTCAGAACTGGTTAGCATGAGTCAGACCTGGTGGTTAGTGTGAGTCAGACCTGGTTAGCATGAGTCAGACCTGGTTAGCATGAGTCAGAACTGGTTAGCATGAGTCAGGCCTGGTTAGCATGAGTCAGACCTGGTTAGCATGAGTCAGACCTGGTTAGCATGAGTCAGACCTGGTGGTTAGTGTGAGTCAGAACTGGTTAGCATGAGTCAGAACTGGTTAGCATGAGTCAGAACTGGTTAGCATGAGTCAGAACTGGTTAGCATGAGTCAGAACTGGTTAGCATGAGTCAGACCTGGTTAGCATGAGTCAGAACTGGTTAGCATGAGTCAGGCCGGGTTAGCATGAGTCAGAACTGGTTAGCATGAGTCAGACCTGGTTAGCATGAGTCAGACCTGGTGGTTAGTGTGAGTCAGACCTGGTTAGCATGAGTCAGAACTGGTTAGCATGAGTCAGGCCTGGTTAGCATGAGTCAGAACTGGTTAGCATGAGTCAGACCTGGTTAGCATGAGTCAGAACTGGTTAGCATGAGTCAGACCTGGTGGTTAGTGTGAGTCAGACCTGGTTAGCATGAGTCAGACCTGGTTAGCATGAGTCAGAACTGGTTAGCATGAGTCAGACCTGGTTAGCATGAGTCAGAACTGGTTAGCATGAGTCAGACCTGGTTAGCATGAGTCAGACCTGGTTAGCATGAGTCAGACCTGGTTAGCATGAGTCAGACCTGGTTAGCATGAGTCAGACCTGGTTAGCATGAGTCAGACCTGGTGGTAAGTGTGAGTCAGACCCAAGCCCCGGCGATCCAAGATGGCGCTGTATACAAATGAATGGTTGTGCTCAGTGGCGCATGTACCGGCACGGGCGCTGACATATTCGCGGAACTCGCCATATCTCTCGCTATATTTGGGCATCGTCTGGTCCTCCCAGTTCTGCGCAGTGAATATTCTCCCATGATGCTTTGCGCCAAATACGCGTGTGTGGGTCTCACACCGGGTCTCACGCACGTGCACAGAGGGGCTCGGCCGCGCTCTGACCAATCAGAGCAGTTCATCAGAGCGGGAGTTAGAGCCAGAGCCAGAGGAGCAGAGTTTGTGGCACTAAAGTGTGGATTTAAACAAAACCGAAGGATTTAAGAAGAATAAAAGTTCAGGATGACAAGGGACACTAAAGTCCCCACAAAATCCGACCTTTATGAAAGCTGTAGGTTCTCTGTCAGGTTCTCTGTCAGGTCCTCTCTCAGGTTCTCTGTCAGCTGAGGTCGAGCTGTTTTAGTTTACATTGAGTTCTATGGGGAACATTTCTGTGTCGCCCACGTGAATTTAGTCTGGTGTAGTCTGGTGTAGTCTGGTGTAGTCTGGTGTAGTCTGGTGTAGTCTGGTGTAGTCTGGTGTAGTCTGGTGTAGTCTGGTGTAGTCTGGTGTAGTCTGGTTCAGTCTGGTTCAGTCTGGTTCAGTCTGGTTCAGTCTGGTTCAGTCTGGTTCAGTCTGGTTCAGTCTGGTTCAGTCTGGTTCAGTCTGGTTCAGTCTGGTTCAGTCTGGTTCAGTCTGGTGTAGTCTGCAGTACTGTGAGAATCCCCCGAGCACATGGTTCTTCAGATATTATTTATAATAGATCCATGGTCAGACCTGGTGGTTAGCATGAGGAGGCAGCACCAGCTCCACACTCTGCACTTTGGTCTTCACCGCAGACACAGCCTGCTCTGCCTCCACAGCGCCCCCTGTGGACAGAACCATAACATCAGCACAGAACCCCCACAGTCTGATGCATTATTACTGTTCATCGTGACACGCTCAGGAGTGATATCATTCCAAATAAAAGATGCTTAATCGTCTTGTGTCCTAACCACTCTGCCGCCCGCGTTCCAAAGGGGCGTGTGCCGGGCACAGGGATAATGTCACAGTGAGTGCATGAGTCCGGTCTCACCTGGTTCCACGGCTCGACTGGAGAGCAGGTCTTTGATGATGTCATCGTGGAGCATGCGGACCCTGCGGCGCTCTGCGGCCAGACTGTACTCCAGCTGCTCCGAGTGAGACCGAGGGACCAGGGGCTTCAGCAGGACCTGAGGAGAGAGAGAGGGTCAGCAGGACCTGAGCGAGAAAGAGAGAGGGTCAGCAGGACCTGAGAGAGAAAGAGAGAGAGAGAGAGAGTCAGCAGGACCTGAGAGAGAGAGAGAGAGAGAGGGTCAGCAGGACCTGAGGAGAGAGAGAGAGAGAGAGAGAGAGGGTCAGAGAGGACCAGCAGGACCTGAGAGAGAAAGAGAGAGAGAGAGAGGGTCAGCAGGACCTGAGAGAGAGAGAGAGAGAGAGGGTCAGCAGGACCTGAGGAGAGAGAGAGAGAGAGAGGGTCAGCAGGACCTGAGGAGAGAGAGAGAGAGAGAGAGAGGGTCAGCAGGACCTGAGAGAGAGAGAGAGAGAGAGAGGGTCAGCAGGACCTGGGGAGAGAGAGAGAGAGGGAGAGAGAGGGTCAGCAGGACCTGAGGAGAGAGAGAGAGAGAGAGAGAGGGTCAGCAGGACCTGAGAGAGAGAGAGAGAGAGAGAGGGTCAGCAGGACCTGGGGAGAGAGAGAGAGAGGGAGAGAGAGGGTCAGCAGGACCTGGGGAGAGAGAGAGAGAGAGAGAGAGAGGGTCAGCAGGACCTGAGGAGAGAGAGAGAGAGAGAGAGAGGGTCAGCAGGACCTGAGAGAGAGAGAGAGAGAGAGAGAGAGGGTCAGCAGGACCTGGGGAGAGAGAGAGAGAGGGAGAGAGAGGGTCAGCAGGACCTGAGGAGAGAGAGAGAGAGAGAGGGTCAGTAGGACCTGAGGAGAGAGAGAGAGAGAGAGGGTCAGCAGGACCTGAGGGGAGAGAGAGAGAGGGTGAGAGAGAGAGAGAGAGAGGGTCAGCAGGACCTGAGGAGAGAGAGAGAGAGGGAGAGAGAGGGTCAGCTGGACCTGAGGAGAGAGAGAGAGAGAGAGGGTCAGCAGGACCTGAGGAGAGAGAGAGAGAGAGAGGGTCAGCAGGACCTGAGGAGAGAGAGAGAGAGAGAGAGAGGGTCAGCAGGACCTGAGAGAGAAAGAGAGAGAGAGAGAGGGTCAGCAGGACCTGAGGAGAGAGAGAGAGAGAGAGGGTCAGCAGGACCTGAGGAGACAGGATTAGCAAACCGGTTCCTACAAGTTTGTGAAAGGTCAAAATCAGGTCATAGAATCAGAACTACTTTGAACTATTTCAAAGGTAAGGATTGTTTTTTTTTCTATGTGTGTTTCATTTACTACAAACAATTGTGCGAATGATTAGTGTTGTGTTGTTGTGTGACCTTGGTCCCTGCTTTGCGCTGAGTGACGAAGGTGGCGTAGGCGTGACAGACCCTCCAGTGCTGGTCCAAGAACAGGTCCTCACAGCTCACCAGGATCCCCACCTGCACCACACAGACTGAGACAGGCCGACAAAAACTGAGACAGACCGAGCCAGGCCGAGACAGACCGAGCCAGGCCAAGACAGACCGAGGCAGACCGAGACAGGCCGACAACGCGTTCAGACCGCCAACGCCGGAACACGGACGTCTTGCGCGCCAGACGCACATTCTCCAATTTTCAGACACAGGGGTGTTCACACCAGAAGTCCTGAAGTAGTGGGCTTTAATTTTAACGGATTTAGTTCTTCTCCAATAACTCAGCTCTGCAGCGTCTCTGTGTCAGAGACTTTATATAACAGCAGTATGTGTTCACGGAGGTGACTTTATATAACAGCAGTATGTGTTCACGGAGGTGACTTTATATAACAGCAGTATGTGTTCACGGAGGTGACTTTCTATAACAGCAGTATGTGTTCACGGAGGTGACTTTATATAACAGCAGTATGTGTTCACGGAGGTGACTTTATATAACAGCAGTATGTGTTCACGGAGGTGACTTTCTATAACAGCAGTATGTGTTCACGGAGGTGACTTTATATAACAGTAGTATGTGTTCACGGACGTGCGCCATACGTTTAATTTATTAATAAACGGTATTTCCGTATCAAGAACACAGGAGTCACAGGAGCATGACAACTCACATGTTCACAAGCACTATGTCCCCCATTGTCAGTCCTGGTTTAGTCCTGGTTTAGTCCTGGTTTAGTCCTGGTTTAGTCCTGGTTTAGTCCTGGTTTAGTCCTGGTTTAGTCCTGGTTTAGTCCTGGTTTAGTCCTGGTATAGTCCTGGTATAGTCCTGGTATAGTCCTGGTATAGTCCTGGTATAGTCCTGGTATAGTCCTGGTTTAGTCCTGGTTTAGTCCTGGTTTAGTCCTGGTTTAGTCCTGGTATAGTCCTGGTATAGTCCTGGTTTAGTCCTGGTATAGTCCTGGTATAGTCCTGGTATAGTCCTGGTTTAGTCCTGGTTTAGTCCTGGTTTAGTCCTGGTTTAGTCCTGGTATAGTCCTGGTATAGTCCTGGTTTAGTCCTGGTATAGTCCTGGTATAGTCCTGGTATAGTCCTGGTACAGTCCTGGTACAGTCCTGGTACAGTCCTGGTATAGTCCTGGTACAGTCCTGGTATAGTCCTGGTATAGTCCTGGTATAGTCCTGGTATAGTCCTGGTATAGTCCTGTTTAGTCCTGGTATAGTCCTGGTTTAGTCCTGGTGTAGTCCTGGTATAGTCCTGGTATAGTCCTGGTATAGTCCTGGTATAGTCCTGGTATAGTCCTGGTTTAGTCCTGGTTTAGTCCTGGTGTAGTCCTGGTGTAGCTCCTGTTTTGGCCGTTTACAGTATGTTCAGCCTACTCGCTCAGACACTAATGCCCCGTGACCACTTTGCAGCTCACTGATTGGTCGCTGCACAAGCGTCCCAAGGAAACGGTCAGTAATATTTATGTCCTGTGTAGGCCGACTTTGCGTTGAAAGTCGGCGCAGCATGATCCGGTCTGAACGCAGCTTGAGACAGGAGCAGCAGGTGCATCTATGATCACATGTGAGCGCTCTGACCTCCATGCTGGTGTTGAAGGCTCTCTGCACTTTAGCCGTGATGTTGACCACCTGCCCCACGCTGCACAGACTCAGGGTTAGTCATAGGTCAGCTGATTAAAGCTGATTAAAGCTGATTAAAGCTGATTAAAGCTGATTAAAGCCGGTTCCAGCCGAGGAACAGTCAAACACGTCGTACCTTATGGTGCGCTCGAAGCTGATGTCGTCCATGGAGGCGGTGACACAGGAGCTCCCAGCATGCCGTTCAGCTGGAAGAAAACTCACTCAAAATAATTTCAGACTAGAGTTGTCAAAAGTATCAGTAATAATTTGTATGTATGTCAGAGTGTTCAAACTGAATAAGAAGACTAGGCAAGGTAGGGTCGATGCTGAGTTAATTTGGACATGTGTGCCTGTAGTTACTGGGATTTTTCGGTGGAAGAAACTGGGCAGATTGGGAATGAGGCTTGTGGGTACATAAGCCCCTCCCTCTCATCTTTTCATAATTGCTAACTAGCATATTAGAATTAGGGATTAGCCCATACACCATTTCTCGTACAGGGATCAATAAAGTATCTACTGTATCTAGTATCTATCTAAAAGTGAAAGTAGGGTCCCGACCGGAGAGGCAGGCGGTGGAGTCCATCCACTTGAGCAGCTGCCCCACGCTGAGCTCCTGTCGGGGGTTACTGTGGCAGGGCAGGACGATCTGACTCATGCGGACCTCTGTGGGGTTCAGGCTGATCTCCCCCGCCTCCCCCTCCTCCCCCGCCTCCCCCTCCAGGTCTCTGTCTGAAGCACGGAAACTCATCTCTTGTCTCACTGCACACAAAAGATGATATTAAAGAAAACAAACATTTATGCGTTCCTCAGTGTAAACTTTACAGCAGAACAGAAGGAGAAAGGTTACGCACACATCAAGCAGGATCTATTATTTAAGTTAGTTACATTTAGGACAATAAGATAAAAAATGATAATAATTTAAAGTGAAAAGCTCATTTGTAACGCAGAGTTCATACAAAAAGGTGCTTCACATTGACAATTTTTTAAAAGCAACAATTAAACAATAATGGATCAGGTTCATTCTACGTCATGGTGCTACGTCCCTTAGCGGACTTCGCTAGTGGGATATCACGTGACCCCCAGGTCACAGACGCCAGAGAGATCAACAAAAAATGCTCCAATCACTAGCGACCCTCCTCTATAAAGGCCCCTGCTCCATAGCCGCGCCCCCTCTTTCACTCTGGCGCCGATTGAGATCTACCACAGTACTTACTTCATTCTGAGATGTCTTCCATTGTTCGTCCGAGTTCCCCTTCGCCCTCCGGCGTCGGACGTCGTCGTTGGATCCAGAGGGTGGAGGACTTCACCTCTGTGGGCGCCACCACTCGAGGGAGGAGGAGGAAACAACCCACGTTGTGCCCGCAGATGGACCCGTTCGTCCATTACGCGACACGTGAGTGGCCAAAGCCCCTAGCAGCCAAGAGGCCTGCTCTGGGGTACGGCATGTACTGCAGCGTGCAGGACTGGTCCTGGACCGGTGGTGTCCCGGACATAGAGGACTCAGTCCGTATGGCCCTGCACCCCTCCGCATCCGTGTGGCCCGGCACCAGACCTCTCCTTCCCTCCGAGGGAACAGGATGTCTTTGGCGATGCTGGATAGATATTATGCCAATGCGGCTCAGGTCGTTGCATTTGCTAACTGTAGGAGCCAAAATGTACCTTTCCCTAGCCACAGGGTGCCGCTGTGGGCGTTATGTGACCTGAGCCCATTCTCCTATAAAAAGGGCAGAATTAGAGGGCACAGGTGCTGCTAGGTTTGGAGGTATACCGTTTCTTACCGTGTCAATTACTTTGGAATGTATTATGTTATTTGGATTAATGGTCATAGGGCCAATAAAGAAACCTCTAATACACTATTTGGACTGAGGTTTGTGGAGACACGCGTTTGGGAAACCCTTAAAATCTTAGCAGCCAAGAGGCGATCTACAGACAACATCTTCGCCTCTACAATAAGTAAGAAACAACCTCAGGTTCCCAACAAGTGGGGCCTCGACTGTTGCTGTAGCCTAGGACAGCACTGTGCGGGGTTACTGAAGGATCTGGAGTAACGCGCGCACGTGCAGTGGAGGGCCCGGCTGGACCACACGCAGCGGATCGTGATCAGGAGTGGAAGGACGCCAGTGACAGCGGTGTTTGGAACGGGGGCAGTTGGAGCTTCAAGACGGGAGCGCGCGCCGTGCGCGTTATTGGAGGAGCGCATCAAAGAGGTTCGTGGATGTAGAGCCACGCGTGTATACAAGAACTGAATGAGATTTGCTATGATCTGACTATGAATGGACATGCAAATATGAACCCTAATAACGATGTGTGTGGACTGAGACGCGCTGACAAAAGACGCAGCGGAAAATCTTCTGCTTACATAAAGGCAGAGGCTGAGCGAGCGGCTCTGCTGGTCAAAGCGTCTTTTATGAAACAAAAACATGAGATTGAAGAACAACAGAGACTAGTCAAACAGCAGCTTGAAATGCTTGAAATTGAAACTCAAATTGCTGCTGCTAATGCGGAGTTGGACGTCCTAAAATCTGCAAAAAAGTTTACATCAAAATGTGTGATGTCGTCTCGCGCAGCTGTGTCACCGCCACGCCAATCAACGATGAAGCCAGAGTCTCCGTGCTTCCAAACAGGGGCCGGGGTACGTGATTGGACACTTCCGAAATGTGTTGATCGTATGATGGAGCTTAAATCATATTCAGATCCTATCAAAGAACTGTTTGAATCTTTGATATGGTCTCCACCTTGCCTTGTTCCTGATTTTCATGCAGTCACAGCTGAAGCAAAAGAGACTGAAAACTATGAGCGTGTGGATGAGGTGAGAGACTGCACACCTCTAGCTCTGGCACCACCAGGGGGCTCTCAAAGTTGTCCACCAAAAGACACTAGCACAAAGGAGGCTACTGGCGTCCTGGTCACTATTGGAGAGTATGTGACTGTGGCAATTGAGAGGTCAAGACTCAATGTAAAGGTTCAAAAATGTAGTGTACAAACTAAAATCTTACGCGAGCCGAGCGCTAATTTGTTTGAACAAAATTTGGTAAAAATGAACATGTTTTCTGTGTGGAATGTGGAAAAGGCCATTTTTGTTGTGCATGTGAAACCCATGAAAATGTTCAAACGTAAAAGATGGAAATTGTGTATTTGTATTCGGTATTGATTTGGACTATTGGTAACGGAATAGGATTACGGAACTTTGTTAATACATAAATATCCCATATTGTAACTTCTACTTAAGATGTGTACATGATAACTTACTCTATTTTGGCTCCTTCTATTTGTTTTGTAATTGTTTGTACTCCTGCACACACAATTAAGGGGCCGGTGTGTAGGAGCCAAAATGTACCTTTCCCTAGCCACAGGGTGCCGCTGTGGGCGTTATGTGACCTGAGCCCATTCTCCTATAAAAAGGGCAGAATTAGAGGGCACAGGTGCTGCTAGGTTTGGAGGTATACCGTTTCTTACCGTGTCAATTACTTTGGAATGTATTATGTTATTTGGATTAATGGTCATAGGGCCAATAAAGAAACCTCTAATACACTATTTGGACTGAGGTTTGTGGAGACACGCGTTTGGGAAACCCTTAAAATCTTAGCAGCCAAGAGGCGATCTACAGACAACATCTTCGCCTCTACACTAACAATATGGCGTTCATCACGGGGGCCCTGGATAGGTCGCTCTCCTCTGGCCAGGCGCTCAGTGGAGACCTCCTGTCAGAGGCTAGGACCACCTCCGCGGCGATCCTGCGCATGTGCCAGGCGTTGGCCGTGGATGGTGGCCGCTCCATGGCTGCAGCCCAAGTCGGGGCCAGGCACCTTTGGCTTGGGCTGGCTAATATCAGGGAGGCGGAGAAGAGGCAGCTGCTGGACCTTCCCATCTCCCAGACGTCCCTCTTCGGCCCGGATATATGCAGGCCCTGGTGGCGAGACTGGAGTCTGCAGCTAAGGACTCGGCTAGGCTAGCCCCGTACCGAGGCGCGAGGCCCACCAGCCATCACGGAGCCGGGACAGAGGCAGAGAGCGTTCGCCCAGGAGGCGTCCCTACCCGTATCCTCGCTCTGTCATCCATCGTCCCCCCTCGACGAGGCCCCCGGGTCCAGACAGACCCACGGGAGGCTCGCGGGAACAACGCACCCACCGCCGGCCTCCCTATGGTAGAGGAGGCCGGGGTGGTAAGAATTCTTTCAATAAAGGCCGACCGGCATTTCATCAGTACTCGTTGTCTGAGTCTCATTTGGGGGTACGTAACATGTCTAATGTGTCTGATTGTGTTACTTCCCGGGCCCATAACGTTGCTCCGCTAGGCCTGCAGCCCCCAGAGCAGGGTGTGCAGTGCGCTACGCGAGCTACGAGCTCCGGTCCTCTGATCCATGCTATGCCCTCCCAGAGAGAGGTCAGGCGGAGGGATCTGGTGAGTAGTGGTGTGTGTGCTTCGGCCGAATACGTGCTAGCCCCTCTGAGCTACCAGGCTAGCATGGGGTTTCCCACTCCAGGGGCTCGCCCCCCCCTCCATGAGGCAAGAGCCAGGGGGGGGCGGAGCAGTCGAGTCACATGGCATGAGCAGGCCCGTACTTATGACGTCGGGCCTGCAGGACACGTGACCGCCCCCGGCGCACACGGTATGACGCAGGGGGCCCCCCTGCCCTTTTGTCCACCCCCCCTCCCTGCTAGGAACACCAGGAGAGGGCGGGGCTGTGACGTCTCGTGTTCCAGCTCCCGTTCCGCCCCTCACAGACTTCTACAGCATCTGGAGGGAGCAGGGCTTACTGACGGATCCGTGGCTGGAGAAGACATTGCGCAGGGGTTACGCACTGCAATTCTCCCGAAAGCCACCACCATTCCGAGGCGTACGGGCAGCGCGCTCTCAGGTACGGGGATCGCTAGTGGCACTACAAGCGGAGGTCTCCTCTCTGCTAAGTCGAGGCGCAGCAGTAGAGGTGGACCCACAGGACGCCGCCAGGGGGCTCTACTCCCCTTACTTCTTAGTGCCAAAGAAGTCAGGAGGGGTGCGTCCCCTTCTGGATCCGCGCACTTTGAACGAGTGCATTTCCAAATGGCAGTTTCGGATGCTGTCCACAAAACAGATCCTCGAGTGTGTCAGGCAGGGAGATTGAATGTCCTCCATAGACCTGACAGACGCTTACTTTGCCGATAGTTCCGGAACACAGGAGGTTCCTGCGCTTCGCAGCGGGAGAGAGGAGTTACGAGTACTGCCATCTCCCCTTCGGCTACGCGCTCGCGCCTCGGACCTTCTCAAAGTGCGTGGAGGCAGCACTGGAGCCGCTCAGACGCGCGGGGGTAAGAATATTAACCTATATAGAACGATTGGTTGATACTGGCCTCGTCCAGGGAAGTGGCCGTGAGTCACACGCACTGGGTCCTTTCCCACATACAGTGTCTCGGCTTTGTGGTGAACAGAAAATAAAAAAGCAGGCTGCAACCGGCTCAGCACATGATCAATCTCGGCCTGCAGCTAGACTCTGTGACGTTCCGTGCTGCATTGTCCGAGGACAGACGGAGGAACATTACCCGTCTAGCCAGGGAGGTGCTAGCGGGCCCCGGGGTCCCCGCTCAGCGCCTCAGGTCCCTGCTGGGGATGATGGCGGCAGCTCATGCTGTGGTGCGGCTAGGCCTCCTCCACATGAGGAGCTTTCAGAGATGGTTCTCACGCCTCAGGCTTCACCCCTCCCGGGACGGGGGGAGGCTGATCTGGGTTCCCCAAACTGCAGCGTCGGACATCAGGTCCTTAGGGGTCTGTCCGGGCCCGCCTTTTGAACCGGTGGCGGAGGCAAGTCCCGAGTGTGTTGCTTTTAAGACTGCCCTCTTGCTGGCGTTGGCGTCTGCTAAGAGGGCGGGCGACTTGTGTGCGCTCTCTGTCCATGCGTCTTGCCTGTCCTTTGGAGAGGGTGACGGCCTGGTGGAGTTATGGCCCAATCCGGCTTTTCTCCCTGAGGTCATCACGTCGGCCTTCAGGTCGAGAGTGATCAGGATTAGGGCCTTCCATCCGCCGCCGCATGCCTTCCCCGAGGAGGAGCGGCAGCACCTTCTGTGTCCTGTCAGAATGCTTAGGCATTGCCTGGCCATGACGTCTTCATTCAGGTTGGTTGATCAGCGGTTTGTGTGTCTGGGCCCCAAGAACAGGGGCGCCCCGCTGTCAGCTCAGCGGCTGGCGCACTGGGTCACCACGGCTGTGCGGCGGGCGTATCAGGCTCAGGGTCTGGCCCCCCCGGTGGGCTTCAGGTCGCATTCCACGCGTGGGGTGGCGGCCTCTACGGCCCTCCTCAGGGGGGCTTCGGTCGAGGACGTGTGCCGTGCGGCTTCTTGGGCGTCGTCCTCTTCTTTCGTCCGGTCTTACCTTTTGGATGTGTCGGACCGGTCGGTGGCCCATTCCGTGCTTAGTGCAGCGGACTGAGTTGTAACCTTTATGTTCCCCTCTTAGGGGCCGACGGTTGACTTTCCGCCCTGGTTCAGGAGCTCTTGGGAGTGGCGTCCAGCAGGTGCGATATATGTGTGTGCTTTGGTCAGTCAGGTAGTCCACGTCAGGAGCTCTTGGGAAAGGCGTCCTGGGACTATGGGTGGCCTTCGATCTGTGTTACTTGGGGGTGTCCTTGGGAGGAGTGGCCCTGTAACACGCAATTGCTTCTTCTGCCCTGAGTCCTCTCACTGTGTGAGGGTCTTGCTCGGGCGGGGCTCCAATCACTCTTCGCTGGCCTGCTGGGAGTACATGTTCCTACGGCCTCCGCGTTGTGTCCCACTAGCGAAGTCCGCTAAGGGACGTAGCACCATGACGTAGAATTAATAGTTGCCTAATGTAACTTAAGTTCTACGAATAGGTGCATAGTCCCTTAGCTACGAGCCCATCAGGCCAGCCCGGCTTGGCAGAGTTCAAGAGGGGGCGCGGCTATGGAGCAGGGGCCTTTATAGAGGAGGGTCGCTAGTGATTGGAGCATTTTTTGTTGATCTCTCTGGCGTCTGTGACCTGGGGGTCACGTGATATCCCACTAGCGAAGTCCGCTAAGGGACTACGCACCTATTCGTAGAACTTAAGTTACATTAGGTAACTATTAATTCAGTGTGTTCTGGACTCTCAGTCTCTTCACGTCATTCATTAGTCTTTCTCTCCAAACACTGTGGGGATAAACTTCTCCTGTAGCCACAGCTGCCCTGGGGCACACTGACAGAAGCGAGGCCCCAGGATTCAAAGTTTTCTAAAGTTTGTTGTGTTTTACGACAGTTGGCAGCAGGTCGCTCCCTCCTCAAAATATACATCTTAATATACAGTCTATGCCTCAAACTCACTTTTAAACTTTATAAACTTTACAGTGCTCCAGCTGCAGCTCCTCTGCTCCTCTTATCAAATCGCACATGCAAACATACATGACACATTTGTAGAAATATCTGAGTAAAAAACAAACCTGCAGAAGCCTGAGAACAAGAGCCACGGACAAGCTACAGTGCAAATGTCAGGCCGTACTTCCGGGTTTAGACTTTCACAATAAATGCGTGATTCTGCCTTTCTGGAATTGTTTGTAGGCGGGGCTAAAGTTCGGCTGGAGCCAGGAGAGGTAATATGGGTTTAATTAGAGAAAGGGTGAGGCGCTCAGAGTAGAGCCGCTGCTCCTCCACGTCGAGAGGAACCAGTTGAGGTGTGTGGGATGCCAGCTGGACTCAGGATTCCCTCAGATGAGCTGGAGGAAGCGTGTGTGGAGAGGGAAGTCTCTGCAAAGACTGCTGCCCCCGCGACCAGGCAACGGATACAGCGGAAGAAAGTGGATAGATGGATGTTGACAAATACAAATGTCCAAATGTTTTCTCAGATTAGCATTTGAGGATGAACAGTATTAGTAAGTAAGTCATGAAGTCTACTGGCCAACTTCATGCACGTGTTTAAGAGAATTGTCATAATTTACAGACCCCTCTGGGAAAACAAATAGGCCGTAGTCAATACAAATTTGTGAAACTGAGAGACAAGTGAACATATTTGTATTAAAGTATTTAGGCTATATCCACACGAAGACAAAACGCTTATAATTTCAGAAACTTTTTCTGTAAACACGGAGTTAGCTCAGTAAATGTGTGCGTCCATATGAATGTAGTCAATACGCCTGAAAACGCTGTGAAACTATGCCAGACCTGTTGGTGGCGCTGTGACGCAATGACGGGATCAAGCCCAAACTTCCGTGACGGGAACTGGGCATGCGCAGAATTTTGTAAACAGACAACATGGCGAGTGGGCGAGCTGGTACTACATTAGTATGGACGGACGATGAGGTTGAACTGTTGCTTCGGGTCACACTGGATTACAAAACCAACAAGCTACATTGTTGTTGTCATTATTTTGTGAGTGCGGCGCATGCTGCTTTAACAAGAGGCGGGGCGATGACGCAAGCGTCTCAGATACATTGCGGAGAGGCAGTAACCACGGAGCGGCATATACGGAGTTTTGAAATCTTTCCACTCTGGGACCTAGTTTCAAAAATGTTCGTTTACACCCCCCCAAAACGCCGGCCTCGTATGGACGATACACTGGATTGATAAAGTATTTTTGCGTTTAGGCCTGAGCTTGACTTCGTGTGGACAGGGCCTTAGGCCCTGTCCACACGAAGTCAAGCTCAGGCAAGCTCAGGCAAGCTCAGTCAAGCTCAGTCAAGCACAGTTTTGGTTGACTGTAGATAAGTCAACCAAAACACTTATCTACAGGCTCCTTGGAAATGTTGTGATGTCGCATGAACACAGCCTATGGAACCTTTGAATTCTGGGCTCTTACCTTGAAAGACTTTCTCCTTTGACAAAACCAATAAAACGGTGAAGCAATAACAGGAAAACAGAGTCCAACAAGTTTTCAACACGGATCTATAACAACAACAGACTGACAGCTGTGCTCGGCTAAAGTGGAGGAGGCAAAAGTTTGAGTTGTAGAATAAACATCTTTCCAACATAAAAGTAAAACAGTACTTACAGATGTACCCCTTAATTCATAAGTTCATTTGAGTTGCTATTGCTCAAAACATATTCTTGAAATTGTGGATTGTTTTTGTGGAGTTGGACTTATTTTTCCACAGATACAGCTTGTAATTTAGCCTAGTGATGTCACATGTGTGTTTCCAAGCTGAATGTAATGTTAGAAGCCATGTTGTGGAAGATTTCAGGCAAAAAAAAGGCGTCATTTTGAGGAACTTTGAGGTAAAAAAGCAGATGAGAAATGTATTTTTAAGTCATCTGCAAAGGTTTTACAGTTACTAGTTCCTTCTTTGAACGTAGGGAAGAGAGATCGGATATTTAGCTTCAAAAGTAAGAGTCAAATTTAAATAACAAGTCATGTAAAAAATGTGTGTGTGTGAATGAAAAGAATTGTGACGTAAAATTGCCAAACTATTTTTGCGGATAAAGCCTGCAGACTTCCTTTTTAGTGATTTTGCTGAAAACCCAGAAATATGACAAATAAACAGCTGCCGAGATGATACGACTTTTATAATGTGTTGCTCTGAAACCATTTTAAAGTAATTAATGTTTCTTTATTGCCCGTCCATGTTGTCACAATAACAACACTGAATGAGGTCCACGCCCGCTGCTGTGTGTGTCGTCCGGGCGCTTGTATGGATATAAAAGTCCTCGTGATGCAGAGATTCACACAGATCCATTCAGAAACAGAGAGAGAAACTTGTGGAAGGTCTCGGGGTTGTATCCTTCCAGTCCGGCCGCCACCTGAAAAAAACATCAGAGTTCAGAAAGATTCTATACGAGAAGAGCAGGATTCCTACATTATACAGTTAAGGGGGATTTGGCAAAAATAATTAAGAGAGACCTGTATTTGCTTCTTCTTGATGAGCGGTCGCACTTTTGCATATTCATACAGCTCCAAGTCTTTATCGATCCAAACCTGGAACAAACACACAGGAGTCAAGACAGAGGCAGAGAGAGAGACAGAGACAGAGACAGAGGCAGAGACAGAGAGAGAGACAGAGAGAGAGACAGAGGCAGAAGCAGAGACAGACAGAGACAGAGACAGAGGCAGAAGCAGAGACAGAGAGAGAGACAGAGACAGAGACAGAGAGAGAGACAGAGGCAGAAGCAGAGACAG